GCAAGGGGTGAGTCTGAGTGGCAACAAAATAACCAGAGTACTTCTCTAGTGATAATCAAAGAGGCATCTCTTTCTTGCAGTTGCAAGGCTGATCTCCCCGAAAATCAGAACTGAGTTACATAATCACAATGTAACTTACACCCAAAGCCTCACCAAGTTGCTCTTAAAAAGTTAAGGCATCGATAGGCGTAGCAGCGCATGCCTGTCATCCCAGCAGCTCGGGAGGCTGAGGCAGGAGGATTGCGAGTTCAAAGCCAGCCTCAACAACTTATCGAGGCCCTAAGCAACAAAGTGAGACCCTGGCTCAAAATAAAAACTAAAAAGAGGTGCGGGTGTAGTTCAATGGTAAAGTACCCCCGGATTCAATCCCTGGTATCAAATATAAATAAAATAAAAGTTAAGGCATTGATGGGGAGGATATGGGTTCTGAGACTTGGAACAGGAATATCTGGGAGAATTCAAACAAAGCTAAGATCTTGAATCCTCAAGTCACTCTGGGCTTCCATTTGAGATATTAGAAAAGAAAACTGAGGGTTAGAGAGTAGAGGGGATGTGCCCAAGCCACATCAGTAAGAATCAGTAGAATCAGAATTCAAACCTGTGTCAGTCCTTGAATAACACTCAGGTCCTCACCGTGGCCCTCGAGGACACATCAGATCTGTCCCCATGCGCAGACTTGAGCCCCTGCCCTGCTGCTCTTCCCCCTTCTCTCTTGCTCTGGGTTCACTGACTTCCTTAGCCTCTCAGGGAGGACGGGGGAGGCCAAGTCATTAACAATGACCAGCCATTCAGAGCCTCACCCGCCTTCAGCGTCAGCCAGGAGGAAAGAGGAAGTGTCTGCCAGCCACCCTGAAGATGGCACCGACCTGAGCGATTATTAATTTCTTCCTTCAAACAACTTGGCTTCTCCTCCGCTGCCCATTTCCTCTCTCCAAGGGACGGAGTTTTCTTTCTCTCCTTGTCCCTCTTCTTCTTTTATTAATTTTCTTTTATTAATTTTCTCAACATTCCAGCCTCAGGCTAGACACCACCTGGGACATCCACAGCCCTCGCCTCCTGTGGCTCTTACAGACCTCCAAGCTTCAGCTTTGAGAGGGGATCCAGGCCAGCCCATCTGGGGGGCCCTGCTCCCACCCTCCAGGCCCCATGTCATTTCTCATTTAATTCCTCTGCCGGACTCGGTACTCATCACTTGGCCTCCGTTGAAATCATCTTAGAATTCCTTTGCCCGGCACTGCCCCTCGGCTGGCAGGGCTACGAGTCAGCAAAGGTGGGAGGTTTGGCCGGCTTTGCTCAGTAAGACTGTTGACTCCCTGGGCAATGAATGCCCCCCCCCCCCCGTTGGGGAATGTCACTCCCAGAGCCACACAATCCTCCCCCAAGAATAGCCTCCCGATTCCCAGAGGCAGATCCAAATGGAGGAACTTAGCTGCCATGAGAATTTAGGAGCAGGTGAAGCAGGATGAACAATTTTGAGTGACACCTGCCAAAGAAAATTAATAAAAGAAGAAGAGGGACAAGGAGAGAAAGAAAACTCGGTCCCTTGGAGAGAGGAAATGGGCAGCGGAGGAGAAGCCAAGTTGTTTGAAGGAAGAAATTAATAATCGCTCAGGTCGGTGCCATCTTCAGGGTGACTGGCAGACACTTCCTCTTTCCTCCTGGCTGACGCTGAAGGCGGGTGAGGCTCTGAATGGCTGGTCATTGTTAATGACTTGGCCTCCCCCGTCCTCCCTGAGAGGCTAAGCCAGCGCTCCAGCTCCCGCGCTGCGGCTGCCCCCGTGTGGTCGTGGAGGGAGCGGGCGGCTCTGCCGCGTGGATGACTCCGGAGCCCTGGTACCTCCCAGGCTGTCCCAGGGAGTCCTCGGGGACTCTCGTAGACCCCCACGTGGACTACAAGCGGAAGTGCATCTGGACAGAGCAGGCTTGCAGGGCCTGAGATGAAGGCTAGGAACAATGTGCTCACGCGCGGGGTCTGCTAGTGTCCCGAGCTCCCGTGTCCACAGGAAATGACAACCTGGAGGGTTCTGGGAGGGCAAGAGAGGCTGCCGAATGCCAGTGGACCTGAGCCTGGCTGAGAGCTTAGGGAGCTGTCCCTGTCCCCTCACTGTGTGGCATGTGGGTGAAGTGGATCCTGCAAAGAGCAGGCTTAGCCCAGGGAATGAGCCCCAGGGAGAAGCGCCCATTCTCCAGCAGCTCAGAAAGGGCCACGCAGGGCTGAGAATCGAACTCATGTAAATAAATGTGAATAAACGGACAAGATAAATGTCCACCAAAGTCTAAAAAAAAATAGAAAGGGCCAAGCGTCCCCACTCTCCGGGAGCAGCGGCCGCTGCGTCATTTGCCAACACGCCGTCTTTCCCTTGAATCAGCCTGGCCACCCTTCACAGCCACAGCCCGTCGTGGGCATGTTGAAGACCCCCATGGCCCCAGCTTCCGCAGCGCCAGGCATTTAGTGCTGGATGGTCTCAGTGCCTCTTCCTGGTGAGTGAATGAATGACAGCGGGGCTCACCACCCGGGACCATGGCACCTCCACTGCCCATGCCATCTGTGCATTGGAATGTCCTCCTGCCAGGGCCACCCGCCAGTCATGCTCTCACAGTGACAGTCTTAACAGAGGTGACTCCTTTATTTTTTTTTAATTTTATTATTATTATTGCTACTTTTTTAGGGTGCTAAAGATTGAACCCAGAGGTGCTTAACCACTGAGCCACATCCCCAGCCCTTTTCTGATATTTTATTTAGACCCAGGGTCTCGCTGAGTTACTTAGGGCCTCGCTAAATAGCTGAGGCTGGCTTTGGACTGGCGATCCTCCTGCCTTAGCCTCCCAGACTGCCGGCATTACAGCTGTGTGCCACTGCACCCGGCTAGAGGTGCTCCTGTATACATTTTGCAGTTCCTCTGACCCAGGCACCCTTCACCAGCCACCTTGGGTTCTGGATGAGGAAGCTGAGTTTCAGAGAAGAGGGGACAAAGACAAGGGCAGTCTTAGAATGTGACTGGCAGGCACATCCCCCTTCGGCCCCGCCCACCCCCGAGGCCTGCAGGGCCATCCTGTTATCCTGTTATCCTTGGACCCCAAGTCTGCCAAGGGGCGGAGATGGAAGCTGAATTACATATTTAAGAAGTTTTTTAATGCCATACCCCATACCTGACCCAAGAGTCTAAAGCACATGACTCCGCATGGACCTGGCCCCAAATCCAGGGCTCACCTCCTGAGCGGGACCTTTTTGTCCCCCAACTCTGTCCTCCTTATCATGCACCAAACACCAAGAGTCCCCACCCTCCAGGTCACTGGGTCATGAGATTCTGTGACTCCAAGAAGCACAGCCAGCCCTGGGCTAAGGTATCCTAAGGGTCAGGGACAACAGATTTGTCCCTCTGTCTGGTGCCCGCCCACTCTGTTCCTATTTTCTTGACCAAAAAATAACAAAATTCTTACCAGTTGCACAAGACCAGGAAGGTTAGGAAAGGACACTTGAAGTAACTGATATTCTACAAACATCCCCAAGCGGAGCATGAACTTGGAGAAAGGGGGGCCTCGCAGAGCAGAAAGCCGACACCCCGAGCCGCCGTTCCCAGCACATCTCTTACGACACCAGAGCTCACTGCCCAGGAACGCAGCCAGGACCTCTGGGGAATTCTCAAAGGAGACATTGTCATCTGCTACCTGTGTGGGACCCTCCATATCCCCCACAATGTCCCAGGGTTGGGTGGAAAGCAGAGGGTCAGTGACAAAGGCCTTTGTCTCAGCACCTCCGTCATGGGATTGTGGGGCCCAGGTCCCCAGGCCTGCTGTGGAGTGAGCAGATGACAGGAAGGGGGGGCATAGGGGTCCTGCCGGGGGAGGCCACGCACAGAGGAGTCTGCTCAGTGCGTAACAGGAAGCCGGGGTCGGAGGAGGGGCAGGGTCCCTGCTGTGCCTCACATGACGGGTTGGGTGCTGCACAGGGAAGGGGCTGCGGGGGAGCAGGGACGGCTACTAGGGAAACGGTCCCTTTGCAGTAATTCAAATGAAGACAGTGATGGCTAAGAAGCGGTCAGACGTGATCAGGTTCTGGAAGAGTGGACAGGGTCTCCTGACGTGTGGGTTGTACAAGCTGAGAAGAGAGGACCTAGGAGCAACCTCTAAGGGCTGGAGCTGGACACTGGGTGGGCTGCCATTTCTTATTTTGGAGGGGGGGGGCACGCCTGGAATTGAACCCAGGGGCACCCGACCACTGAGCCACATCCCCAGCCCTATTTTGTATTTTATTTAGACACATGGGCTCACTCAGTTGCTTAGTGCCGCGATGTTGCTGAGGCTGGCTTCAAACTCGTGATCCTCCTGCCTCAGCCTCCCGAGCTGCTGGGGTGACAGGGGAGGGCCACCGTGCCCAGTTTAGACTGGCATCCCTGAGATAGGACATGGGATTTGAACTGAATTCTCTCTGACGCCCCTCCCCACCCCAGGGCTCTGTGGTTAACCTGATGCTTCAGCTTCGAGCTTGTCTGTCCTCCTATAAATCTTATATGGGAAGGTGAGGCCACCATCCACCCATCCATCCAGTCATCTGTACCCTGTAACAAGCATTCATCAGGACTACCACGTGTCCAGCATGGGAGATGCTGGGGACATCACCCATCCAGAAACCTATCCTTTGGTAAGGATTTGAGACTGTGTTTCCTCCTCTGCTCAGCCCTGGGGCACTCAGAAACATTCATTAGCTCTTTGTTCTGGTAAACCAACATGGCCCTGGGGACAGAGGTTGGTTTTTCTTGCCCTTAAGAAAAACCTAGTTCAAACTGGACAGCCTGGAGTGGGCCGCTCCCACCCACTCGCTCACTCATCCACCAACCTGCCTCCTGGGTCAGGGTCTGGGAGAGATGACCCAACAGTGGGCCCTGGTGGGCGTCTCCAGGCAACCAAGCCCCCTGGGGCTCCGGCCTGCCCAGCGTTCCACCCTTGCCATGTGAGCCAGCCGCCTGCTGCTGTCGAGTCCACTCTCCACCTCCCCACAGCATGCTGGGGGCCAGCTCTGGGGCCATCTTCCTACAGAAAGCCATGTGCCCATCCATCCACGTGGCCACCCGCACAGCCATCTTCCCGGGCCCCATCTGACCCTTCTTGACACCTGCAGGTCCTAGAACCCAAGATGAGGCCACTCTGGAGGCTCCTCGTCCTCCTGGCGTTGCTGGCCTGGGCCTTGGCGCTGCAGGAGCAGCCTTGGGCTGGCCTGGCCACGGCCCGCATAGACAGCAAGTCCACCCTGGCCAGAAGTAAGCTCAGCCCTGGGCTCTGCCCACCGTCCACGGTGGGGTGGGGGGTGGGTGGGGGGTGGGGGTGGGTGGGCGGGACCTCGGGTCACTTAATTTTTTCTTTTATTTCCCTCAATCTCACCCCGGTCGTGAAATCACTCACTCCAAGTTCCCTCTTATTTTATTTTGGTACTTCCTCCTTTGTCCCTTAGCCTCAATGCCATCCCCCGGTGTCCTTGGCAGGCACCCGGTGTGTTGAGCATCTGTGTTCCAATATGCCTGTTCCCTGCAGGCAGCGTTTTGATTGACGTAATCCGTTGGGCCACACGTAGCTCCTTCTGGTTTTTGCGGTTCCACTCCGAATGCGGTGGTGACATCTATGTGACCTCAGCGGCATAGAGAGGTCCATCCATTTCCTCTATCTCAGTTTACCTGGTGGTCACACCAGGGGGGGACACTCAGGCTTCTGTGATCCCTACTGTTGTCAGCTGCACCGAGATGAACACCCTTGTCCACGTCCCTGTTGGACCCCCGGAGAATTTCTCTCAGGGGCCCAGAAGGAAGACGCCTGCACCCTAAAGCAGAAGTAGGCTCGATTCTGACGACCGAATCCTCTAGAACAGCTGTGCCGCTCGACACTGTTTCTCTCCAGTAATAAACAGCAAACCTGTTCCCCGCTCCCCACTGTTGGGGAACTGTCTGCCAGGTCCACAGACCCGCAGCAGAGGGGCTCGAAAGCAGACATTTATTTCTCAGTTTAGGAGACTAGAAGGCCAAGTTCAAGGTGCTGGCAGGGTTGATTTGGGTGCAGCCTCCCTTGAGGGTGTGCAGATGGTTACCACCTTCATGTCTCCTGGCTCAGCCTTCAGAGCAGGGCGTCTCTCCCTCTGCTTATAAGATCCCCAGTCTAGCCCATGAGGGTCGACCTTACGACCTCATTGAACTTTATTTACATCCTGAAAAGTCCCATCTCCAAATATTGTCAAGCTGGAGGGGAGGAGACGGGTTTCAGGGCACAGTGCCCTCTGGCTAACACCTGCGGGTCTGGTGAGTGAGGCGATTGTTTCAACTTGGCTTTATTGACGAGTGGGAAGTTTGAGCATCGCAGCATGATTCTGGCAACTGTCTTGACTTTTTTGAATTCCCCGTTCTTATCTTTTTATCCTTTTTTCTATTTTATTTCCTGCTCTTTTCCTTAATCCTCTTTGATTTTGAGATGTTAATATCCTCTTGCCATTATTCCCTTATCAGACTTAGCCATTGTTGATACAGTAATCCCTCAGTGCCCCGGGTATAGTTTCAGGACCAGACTCTGCAGGTAGCACCATCTGCAGACACTCCAGTCCTCTATGTAAAGCAGAACCCACCCACAGCCCCCTCCTGTGGGCTGCCAATCATCTCTCAATTACTTATAAAACCTAGTACAATGTCAACTAGATATCATAAATAGTTTTGAGTATACAGGCAGTTGTAAACAGTTGCAGTTACGATGTAAGTAGCTGTTATTGTTTCGGAAGTAAACACAAAAAAAATTAGTTGAATACAGACACATTTTTTTTTTCAAATATTTTCATTCCACAGCTGAGAGTGGATCTGAGAATGTGAAACCAGTGGATAGAGGATTGGCTGTATTTCTCCTCAACAGCCATCAATTAACTGTGTTTCCTGAACAGGAACATTTCCAAACTCATCAGTGTCTCATCTTATGGTTTGTGTTTGAACAGTCTTAGGACCTTCCACTGTTCCAGTCATATTCTACTCTTGGGTTCTCTTCTCTCTCTCTCTCTCTCTCTCTCTCTCTCTCTCGATTGGGCACTTAACCACTGAGCCACATCCCCATCCACCCCCATTGTGTTTTGAGACAGGGTCTCACTGAATTTCTTAGGGCCTCAGTAAGTTGCTGAGGCTGGCCTCCAACTTTCAATCCTCCTGCCTCAGCCTCCTGAGCTGCTGAGATTATAGGTTTATGCCACCATGCCCAGCTCTATTGGGTTTTTCTATAGCTTTATAGTCTTACCTTTTGGATTAGGGATGCTAACCCATCCGGACACTCTGTGCATCTGTTGTGGGTAGATAACCAGCTCCTTTCTGTACCTAGAGTGAGACAGCACTCCCCACCCATCTCTTAAAGACCAAATCCCTAATGTGAGGGTTCCCTTCCGAGTCCTCTATGCTGTTTCTGTGCATTCATCTCTATACCAATAACATAAGTCTTCAAGCACTGCTGGTTTAGCTGATAGAACTTTATTCTTCCAAATGAGCACATTGAGTTCCTGTAAAACTGTTTATCTGGAAATTTGATTGGAGTTACATTTAATTTTTTGGTTAACTTAGAATTAAATGTTGCCACACAAGAATCCTGACTACTCAATCACAAATTTAGCATATCATTTAATTTTTTAAAATTTTACTTTATATTTCATCCTAGAATTTTAAAGTCCTGTAAATGTCTTGAGCATGAGTTGATCAATTGGTTCCTAGAGAATGTGCAGTTTTTCTTGACACATTAAATGCTAATTTTCTATTTTCTAGTTGTTGCTGGTAAAGATGAGGGGGAAACTGATGAGTTTTGAAAATTAACTTGACCTACAAAAGCCTTGTTGACCTTTTATAGTTCTAACAGCTTGTCTTATTTTTTTTCGGTTAGATTCTCTAGAAGATTCTGTCATCAGCAGTGACCATTTTATCTGTTTTTACATGGTCCCTTATTTTTCCTATGCCTTTTTCTTAGCTTGAGTTGTAGCCAGGGCCCTCTATAGGAAAGGGAATGTATCTATAATTCTCCACTCTGCAAGATATTTTCTGCAGGTTTTTGGAATAAAAATTTTGGGGTGGGGGTACCAGGGATTGAACTCAGGGGCAGTCAACGACTGAGCCTCCCCAGCCCTATTTTGTATTTTATTTAGAGACGGGGTCTCACTGAGGTGCTTAGCGCTTTGCTGTTACTAAGGCTGGCTTTGAACTCCTGCCTCAGCCTCCTAAGCCGCTGGGATTGCAGGTGGGCACCATCGCGCCCGGCTGGAATAAAATTTTTATTGCATTAAGACAGTTTCTTAAATTCCTAATTTTTGTTTAAATATTTATTTTTTAGTTGTAGTTGGACACAATACCTTTATTTCACTTATTTATTTTTATGTGGTGCTGAGGATCGAACCCAGGATATCGCACGTGCAAGGCGAGCGCTCTACCACTGAGCCACAACCCCAGCCTTAAATTCCTAGTTTTATGAATTTTTCTTAATCATGTCAGTCTTGATATTTAACAAATGTCTTTCTGCATCTGATAGTTAATCAGTTTTCCCTCTAACCTATTAAATGATAAATTGCATTAATCAATTTTCTGCTGCTCAATCATCCCAGCCATTCTGAAATAAATTACAAAGTACAGTTAGATTTTATTGCCTAATAGGATTTTTAGGATTTTAGCAAAATTTTCTTTTTTTCTTTTTCTTTAGAGTAGAAATCCATTTATTAAAATGTTTGACTGACATATGTATTTGTACACAGTTATAGGGAATAGTACAATAATGCAATATATGTATATAAAGTGTAATGATAAAATCAGGGTAATAAACACTTCCCATCTCCTCAATCATTTATAACTTCTATATCTTGGGAATCTTCATACTTCTTTTAGTATTTTGAAATATAGATTGCTGTAACCCATATTTATCTTACTAGGCTATAGAAAGCCAGAATTAATTCCTCCTACCCGTGTTCTGATGCTCCCTGTTTAACTTCTTCCCCTCCTCATCCTTCTCCTTCCCAGTCTTTAATTAGGATTTAAGTGCATTTTTCATATGTAAAACTATTTTGCAATTTTTTCTTTCTACTGTCCTTGAGGCTAGACAAGTTATACTAGCCTCATTGAATGAATTTGGTGTCTTTCTCTTTTTAAAAATTTCTGTCTTTATTTCAACGGAAAAAAAATTGTTTGAACTCTTCCATACAACCATGGGGGCAAGAAGCTTTTGTGAAATGAGAAATTCAACCATTGTTTCTATTCCTTCAGAAATTCCTTGCCAGAAAAAAACAGAAATTCCTTGCCGTGTGTGATGGCACACGCCTGTAATCCCAGAAGCTCAGGAGGCCGAGGCAGGAGGATGGCGAGTTCAAAGCCAGGCTCCGTAATTTAGTGAGCAACTTAGTGAAACCCTGTCTCAAAAAAAAAACAAAAAACAGATGGGCCGGGATGTGGCTCAGTGGGTAGATGCCCCTGGGTTCAATCCCTGATACAAAAAAAAAAAATCTTAGGGTTTCTTGGATTATGGATGCTCTCCATTTCCCCTCATCAAAACTGGGCATTTTACGATTTGCCACAAAGGTCTCTGTTTCTCTTAGGCCATCAAATATACTGGTGTGTGTTTGTGGGTCCGGGCGTCCTCATCTGTACAATGGGTGTGGTTAGAATGCTGGTGTGCAAGGCTGTTCTTGAGGCTTGAGGAGAGTGTGTGCAACGTGCTTCTCCAGCGTGAACGCGTGGCTCACTGTCCTCACCTTCCAGGGTCCCTGTCAAGGATGTAGCTGGGAACAGCAGAAAATGCAGCTCAACCTGGCATAAACAGTGAAAAAAAAAAGAAAGTTATTTCACAAAACTCAGGTTCAGGTGGTACGAGCTCCGGGCTCGGCTGGACCAGCGGCCCAAAGCTTCCATCTGGTTGGATCCTGCCCCCTCCTCAGCTCTGCGACGTGTGGTCTCATCCCCAGGCTGGTTCCCAGCGTGGTAGAAAATGGTGGCCAGTGGCTATGGGAGCCGTGGGCTGCTCGCTCCTCTCCAACAGGAGAAGGAGAACGGACCCCTCCTCCTGAACGGGGGCCGTGAGACCTCATGTGAGTCTGGGTCACATGCCAGTTTGAACCTAAG